TTTACTATATAAAATCATTAAGTTAATTTATATAAAATTGAAAGACTAGAACAATTAAATAAAATTAAAGAGAGTAATTAGTTAATAAAATTAAAATTAATCTTTATTATATATATAAATTAATAATTATAAAATATAATAATTATAATATTAATATATGTGTTAAAAACACACCTCAAAAAAACCATTCTAAAAGTAAATCAGTGTTTAGGTCCAATAGGTTGTTAGTCTTGGGATGGTAAATTGAGCACTTAAAATAAATTGCATGCTTTTCAGCATGAATTGTTGGATTCGAGTTCTTTTACTTTATATGCAAACGAGAATAAAATAGAATTCTCCTTTGGTCTATTGCAAGCGAGGTGTTATAATTCTAGGCGAAGTCAGGTTGTGCGCTTAACATGAATTACTAGAAAAGGGGTTTGTGGAATCAATAAATAAAAGTCTTTAGACACAAATCTTAAAGTAGATTTGGAATGTATGCCATTGAAAATGCCTAATAAGTCAACCTCGAATGTATTCTAGAATTTCTCGTGGACAAAAGGTTTGGTGAGGGCTTCAAAGACTTTGTGTCCTCTTCGCCTATCATGCCTTTAATTAAGCCCTAATTCTTGGGAATGTTTTTTATGTTTCTTTGTTTATATCATGTGATACATACATTACATATTAATACATTCAATTTAAATAACGTATAAATTAATTTGTAAACTACCAATCACTTAAAGTAATTTAATAATATTTTTTATAATTAATTTATATAAAAATTGATAAAAATTAATTTAAATTTAATTAATTAATTAAAATATCTAAGTAACATTATCACTAAAATAAAAATTAATTTATTATTATTTTTATATAAATTAATTATAAAAATATATTTATTATATTCTTAATTTATATTTTAATACATAAATTAAATAAATTATAGAGAAAATAACAAAAGTCGTACATGATGTTTTTTTTTTTTTTTTAATTCTCAGTCGTACATGATGTTGGAATGGGACGTAACGTAAGCGCAATTCGTACAGAAGGTCGACCAATTAGCGCGATTATCGGCCAGACCAGACGGTTCTCTTTCATCCGTTACTATACATCGAATCGAAGTTCGTTTTTGAGCCTTTACGTTTAAAATGTGTGTGACAAATGGTCAAGACACCGATGTTAAGGTAACCCAATGTTGATAAGAAACTCAGTTACATGTTGCTTATAGTGGAAAGATATTAATTTTTTTTAAAAAATAAAATTTTAAATTTAAACCTTATGAATAAAAAATAAACGTTAAAAGAATTTCCTTATAAATAAGATTCGGCACGATTCGATTTTAAATTAGTCAAAATTTAATATGATTATCAGATACTGAATTGTTAGTATAAAAAAAATATATTAATAAAACATTATTAATTTTTATTTAATTATTTAAAATAATTAATATTTATTATTTAAAACTTAAGATTAATTTATAATTTAATATTTTTTAATATTATTATTAACTATTTAAAAAATTTTATAAACATGATTCAAATAAAACAATACATTTGACTTTAATAAAGTGCTGGGTAGCACAGCCGCCCAAAATATCATCTCAGTCTCAAACCTCTTTCAATACCCTTTTGGTTAATCTTATCAATTTTCATGGTCCATTTACTTACAAATATACCACATCTAGCGAGAATGCGTTGGTTTAGTGCCCACTTCTCTAT